AACTCAACAATTGTTTGTGCATTATAGAGATGCTTCTGCAGGTCGCCCGTTATCCATCCAGCGCTTGTCACACTGGCTGTGTGAGGTTTTTTTTTCTGAAGCCTACAGAGCATCAGATTTAGAGCCTCATGTCAACCTCTAAGCACACTCGACCAGGGGTATCGCATCTTGGACTGCTCTGCATAATGGTATGTCAATGCAGGACATTTGCACTGCGGCTGCATGGTCAACACCCTGCTCATTTATTCGCTTTTACCTACGTGATGTAACGGTTCGTTCCATGACACATTCTGTCCTTAGTGCTCTAACAGAATGAATATTGTTGTTCTCATGGAACTCTGTTTAAGCTCACTTCTGTCTGCATGCATTACAGTGTGAGATGTTGTTATCAGTCACAAGTCGTGTCTGTGATTTTGGTTCTATTGTCACTAATCAGTTCATGATTATTGTTACCAATCAGTTCATTTGATCAATAATCAATTCATGGACATTAATCTGTTTATACTGTTCAGCCATGAACCAGTTGGTTCATGCCCCCCCCCCCCCCCCCCTTTTCAACTTCTTCTTCCGTTGAAAGTTTTCCGGGGCATTCATGCTTTGTCATAACGCATAGTTACACAACATGCGTCTGTGCATGGCACATAATTACGCGATGCGTAGTTATGCACACGGGGAGCTGAGTGACAAGACTTTTTTTGGGCAAGCTTCCGCTTCTTACTGTGTTCGAATGGACCCAGTGAGGCGAGGACCACATCCGCTTCGCCCTTAACCCATCAGCGACAGCCTTAAAGGGCGAAGCCTATATGAAATAGAATGTTGGTTACGTACTGTAACCCCAGATTCTATGAATATAGGCGTAGCCCTTTAAGCGTCGGGCCTCACTGGCTCCTAAATGGCTGAAGAAAAAAGCTATTTTGGGAGCCGATTTCCCGCTCTTAACGTAATTTATACGGACCGGGTGGGGCCCACACAGCAGGTGGGCGTGGACTAATTTTTTCAGTGCTTATGCTCTGCATAACGGGATAAACCCATCAGCGACAGCCTTAAAGGGCTACGCCTATATTCATAGAATCTGGGGTTACAGTACGTAACCAACGTTTTACGTTATGTTGTTGTTTGAAGTTAAACTATTAATATTGACAAAGTTGAGAGTTTTATGTTTATTTGACGGCGATTTCAAATTTTTTTAAGACTAAATACAAATAAAAGGTGAACATTTATTTATTTGTACAGTTAGTTCAGTTTTCCTGAGGCTTTTATATTGTTTACATCGGTATCGAATTATATTGTTATCAACCAAAATTAAGAAATATTGGGGTTTTTTGTTTTGTTTGTTTGTTTTTTATCTGTTCTGTGACAAGACATTTAGCTAATGGTATAGACAAATGAACTCACATACATGAGTGAAAACATTATTTTTTGTCTTTCTGTGGTGGGTGATAATAAACACAAGATTCACAACTGAACAGACACTGATGCTTGCCACATCCTCTTCTTCCAAAGTGGTTCACTAACATCGAATCACGCACAAATGAAATGATCTCATCCATCTCTGGCAAAATGAACTGGTTGCTTCCCTCATCTCTGTCCTAGCTAATTGCATCCACTTTCAAATTGTTCAAGAAAACAGAGAAAGATGAGGTTTTTCAGCAAGAGAGCATAGAAGTAACATCAGTGGAGAAAGTAGGAATATTAAACATGACGGACATGAATTTTTTGCACTTCTGCACACATCTGCTGCCCTCGGCTAAATGAGAGAGGATAAATAACAGGAGTGATATGAGCAGACAGAAACCCATCTGGTGTCTTTCAATATATATATTCTTCAAGGATATTTTTCTTTTTTCTTCATGATCATTTAAATGTAGATTTACTGCGTCTTAAAAGCTGATTTACAAAATTCCAATATATTTTTTTCTTTTACCAAACAAGCGCTCTTTCTCAACACATTTGTTACAAGTGATCAGACAAAGGCTGTTTGCTGGGTCAAGTGTTTGCTCATTAGTGGACACTCCATATTGACTTGCCTCCTTCCGTCTATTGTTCTTTGTGTGTGTTTATTGAATTTGCATTGGTTTTCTACAATAAAGCATAAATGTAAAGACTAAAGAAACTTGGATGACAAAAATTAAGGATTCTCCTTTGCTTTAAAATTTAATTAGATTTATTTTTTTATTGTAAAATTATAGTTTGAGCTATGCAAAAATTGGGAGACCTCTTTCTTTGTTATTCAGTTCCACATCCACAAATGCCTATAACCTGTGTTGTCATTGAAATTGTGTTCCAGAGTGTGTTTATTTCTGCCTGTTTGTTTGTCAGTCATGAACCTGGACCGCATGGAGAACCTCACCTACTTTAAGCAGCGTTTCCCTCGTTACCATGCTCCTCTGTTTCGAGGTCAGACATTGTGGGATCCCTCCACTCATGTGAAGCTGCCCCCTGCTGCCCTGGTGCCACAACGGCAGCAGCAACACAACTGGAAGGAGAAAGAGAGGACAGAGAAAGAATGTGAGCACAAGATCTTTAAAAACATTATAGTGGTACAGAATCAAGAAAATGTCTCATTCATGGTTCTCTGTCTTAGCCCTATCTCCTCAGAGTGATGCCTCGGCCCCCAGCAGCATCTCAGCCAATCAGACGACAGAATACACCGCCGCTAGACGCAGCTCGTCAGTGCCCGAGCCCCCCATCACTATCGTCATCTTGCTGATCTATCGAAGCCTCGGTGCTGCCCTGCCTCCCAAATATCATGCAGATCGTAGAGGAGTGAGGTAGGAATCTGTCGCCTTCAGAACAATAAATACCTGATCGTATTCACCATCTAAACTTTGAAAGAGCTGACCAGTTACACTTAATCTGGGATTAGCTGTGTCTTTTATTGGGTAATACATAATCAGGTATAGTAGTTTTTATTTTCAATTACAGGAGCAAAACTTCAGAAAAAGTCATTATTATGGGTGGAGGTTGTGTCTCGCAAAAAACAGTCCCGTCTAATAAATCATAGAAACGGATGCCTCCAACACCCACATCCGCCTCCACCCAAAACAGGGATAATTCCATCGCTTAAATGCATGACTAAATTAATTAACATATCACACGACTGTCTGACACGTGAGAGAGATGGAGGATTACCGAACACCCGTGCTCAAAATTGCTTGTATCTATAAAAGTTTTTTTCACTTATATAAAAAAATATATAAAAGCAAAGAGGCTCCACGGTGACGCAACTGGTAGAGCTGCTGCCTCTCAGCGAGCAGCTCCTTGGTTCAAACCCCGGTCCAGGGGCCTTTCTGGGTGGAGTTTGCATGTTCTCTCCGTGCATGCGTGGGTTTTCTCCGGGTACTCCGGTTTCTGCCCACAGACCAAAAACATGCATGTTAGGCTGATTGGTAACTAAATTGTCCCTAGGTGTGAGTGAATAGTTGTTTGTCTCCATGTGTCCCTGTGATGGACTTGCGACCCGTCCAGGGTGTACCCCACCCCTCGCACAGTGATTGCTGGACATGGGCACCAGCGACCCCCGTGACCCAAAATGCCAAAATGGAATAAACGGGTAAAGATAATGGATGGATGGATAAAAGCGAAGAAATTCTGTTGGAATGTATCGTCACCGATTCAAATAAATGTTTCAACCACAGACCAAACCCACAATCTTCTGATTACAAGACCAGTGCTTTAACCACTTATCTACCGCACACCCACTTAAGATCCTTTAATGGTGAAAATGTCTCGCTTTTTGTCTCTCCTCAGTTTTCTGTTCTGGTCCCCTCTGTCTGTCTGGAGGTGTAGATGTCTGTGATGGTGGTGAGGCTGACTCAAACAGACTTAAACCAGCAGAATGTGTCCACAATGCAGAAAATCTGATGACCCAAATGAAATTCTATTGGAGCTGACTGTTCTGATCCACTTGATGAACACGAGTCGTTGAACGGTAGCTCCCCATAAAAGTAAAAATCTGAGGCTGAATCACTAAAAATCTATTAAAATTCCATTTAAAATTGACAAAATAGTTGAAAATCACACACACATAAAAAAAAACACAGTAAAATCAATAAATAAGTAATTTACATTGTTTATTAGGAGGAACTACTTTGTGCAGCAAATTATTTTTTTAGGCAGAGCTACCTGCTGCTATGGACCAGCTGTCACAGTACAGTGATTGTTGTTGCAGCTGCTGCTACAGCTTTTTTTTTACTTGGTAAATGATTACATATGTGATAAATTAGAGATCAGTGGATTGATCAGTCTTTCTCCAATCCATCTAACTAGCATACATACTTTATTTTCAGTTATATGAAAAAAGCCAAATGATACCAATACTTTACTTTTAATATGTTTTATCTCTTTTTCCTAAAACTGTCTTTCTTTTTGTCTGCTGGTGCTCACTTGTCCTCTGGGCTTCATTACCAAATAACACGCTGTCCAGTGTTTTAGCTAAAAAGTCACATCTGATCTGATGTGCAACTCATAGGTCTTCTTCCTGCTGTGCTTTCCTAAAAATCACAGAATATAAAACTGTTCTCCCTGTCAGATTGATTGAATCTGGGATTATGATGCATTTTCCTTTCTTCCAGGCTTCCCAGACATCCAGTAATGAACTCCCCAGTGGTCACTGTCTCCGTTTACAACAACCAGACGTTTGTGGCCGGTCACTTAGACAAGCCCATCGAGCTGGAGTTCAAGCTGCTGGAGACGGCCAATCGCAGCAAGCCGCTGTGCGTGCAGTGGAATCACAGCAGCCCGTGAGTACAAATCAACGCACACATGGACTGTTTCTAAATAAATAAACTGTGTCACAACTGGGGGTTTGTGCTTCACAATATAACTTTTAATACAACTGAAAACCATTCATTTGGTTAAAATATAGTTTTAAATGTTGTAAGGTTCTCATCAAAATCTAATGAATCTAGTTGAGTTTTTGCTTGATGATAATATATTTAGAATCCTTCTTCAACATTTTCTGGCTCCAAATTAGACACAACTCAAGGAGACCAAGTTTTCTGGAGACCTTGTTGACTCGGTTTTATGGACTGTTCGCTGCAGAAAGCTCCTAATGGTGAACAACTGAGCCACTTGATGGGCCATTCCTTTACTGACACATTATTGAATAAAAAAAAATACATATACACTAGTGCTTCATTAACACAAGAAAAAAAAACATTTTTTTCATACAGGTGAATTGTACAAAGTTTTAAACCCCAAAGTCTTTTCACTGTGTGTCTTTCATTCCTCCTCTTTTAAAATCTTTCATTGCAAACCGTTCTTTGTGAAACTGCAGACATGAGATCGGAGGCTGCTGGACGGTGAGGGACTGCATGGTGGTTTACAGGAACACCTCTCATGTCCGCTGTCAGTGCCACAGACTTGGCACTTTTGGCGTGCTGATGGACAGCTCACAGAGAGAGGTCAGTCTCCAGTCAATGAGCGACACTCAATTCTGTTTTAATGTTGATTTAAGTATTTTTATAATTAAGCATACAATGGTATCCCTTTTCTTTTTCCTTCTTCTGAACACCTTAACTCTTAACTGCTGTATCTATTTAATGTTAAAGTATGAAATCCTGTAGAAATAACCATCCTGGCTGATGCTCACAAGGCTGTATTAAACCTTGTTAAAGCTCTGGTAGATACATGCAGCTTCATGCGACTCCCTTGGGCCATCCGTCTGCAGCGTACTCAGTTGGTTGCCTGTCAGATATTCAGCGAGCAGAAGTGTGTTGTCAAAAACTGTCTCAGTGACTCTGCATCTCCAAAACCTGAACCAAGGTCTTAATATAAAATCCAGCTTGTCAGTGGAAATGATGCTGCAGCTCTGCTCGTCCTGCTGTGAGTTAGATTACGGCTGTGTCATGCGTGTTTTCAGTTTACTGCACTGAAAGGGTTCAACAGATTACTGTACAGATTACTGTAAACACTTTTGTTCTGAATTCCTCTGACAAATTGACTCCAAGGCCCCGCTCACACCTTGCACTTTATATTTTGGGTGATTCCATTGCAAGTGGTCCACTCGGACTAGTAGTGTTCACGGCAAGTTGTTTAAATGTGTACCCCAAAAGGTTTTTGTGATTTAATCTCATATACCCAGGTCTGATTTTAGATTTACACAGACACATCACACTGTCAAAACAGTCCGACAACAGACCTGCTCATATTTCTTTAAAAAATACACACATCTACGCTATACTGTACTATTTGACATTAAAACAGGTCAGAGCCATTTACATTGCATTTTTGTAGTTATTTCTTGATTAGCAGCAGCCTAATCACCTTCAAGAGAAATAAAGTGGCAAATATAACTTAGCTCAGTGTCAGAGCGAAGACTGAAGAGTTTAACTGGTAAAATCCCACAACAGTAAAGTGGACAGCCTAAACGTCCACTTAACACCTTCGTGGTTTTTTTTAGGTGAATGTCATGTGACGTAACAGTTCTGAGATTGTTTATCTGTGGCTGACATGATACACTGTAGCTCATAGTGACCGCAATAGATCCAACCAGATCTAAAACCAACCAAAACAACATTAAAGTAAAAAGGAAATTACCACAGTCCACTCTGAAAATAAAATCCTAACAAAATAGATATTGTTATTAAGAGTCAGATCAACACTTGAAGATTATTATGTCTGAAATAATTGTTTGAAAAAAGGGGCAGATATAATAAGATTTTTTCTTCTTTCTGCTGCCTTTCATTTTAAATCTTTTGTATCCTTTTTTTTATATTGTTATGGAATTGTTTTGTACTTTTTTAAAATGAATAAACTATATACCATACCATACCATAACACTTGAATAAAACCTTTAGCTGAAAAAAAGCCATATATTCTAAATATTCTTTAATTATCTTTAACTCTGACCCTGAGAGGTCTTCTCTGAGGCCTTTGTGGGGTCACCTCGGTTCAGTAGGAGGTCCATCAGTGGGCCTCAAGACAAGAAACATTTAGACCAACAAATGTAAGCAGGTTAAAGGTATCTGTCATTAAGACATTTTTATTACACACTGAGGCAATTCAGACCTGTATTTGAGCACCATCCAGATGCAGTGTGATCATTCAGAATGGAACAAATCTGAATGGGGCCTTGTTTAAGTTGACTTAGTTATATAATGTTTCTAATCTATAGTTTGTTTCTATCCTATCTGCTCCATATCATTTTTGTATCTCTGATGAAAATTTGTTTGAGACTTTAATAGTTTCACATTAAACTAATTGTTCTCTTTTCTGTGGGAGTAGCAGCTGGAGGGGGATCTGGAGACATTGGCCCTGGTGACATATTCCTCTCTGTGCATCTCTATGCTGGCCCTCCTCCTCACCGTCTTGGTGCTTTCTTGCCTCCGAGGCCTCAAGTCCAACACCAGGAGCATCCACTCCAACACAGCGGCAGCCATGTTTTTATCCGAGCTGGTGTTTTTGCTTGGCGTCAACCAGACGGAGCAGCAGGTAAATACAGGATCTGTTTGAGTGAGAGGCTGTTTCTGCAGCCAACCTTTTTTTATTTCTGTGCATTTATTTTTTTGTTTTTATACCACTATTCAGAAAGTTTCCATATTTTTCTATCGTTGTTAACGACAACCAATTCCTGATTCAGCAAATGCATGACAAACGCTTAACAAAATAAATATTTCAAAAATCTAAAATAAAACTAAAGATTTCACCACACAAAGTTTTTATGTGCATTTGTAGTTTCTCCAAAGGCTGATTTATTTATTTATTTATTTTGGACCATGCTGTTCTGATCTTAAATTGGAAAACCTTTTCGAAGTCTTCATCAGCCAGACCTTCAGATCTGAGCTCATTTCAGTGTGTCTCACCTTCTTTCTACTTTTCCTCCTCACTCTTGACCCCATCTGTGCTTTGTTACGCAACACATTCGTGTCTGAGTGTGTTTAAAGAGCAGCAGCTCTTGCAAAGAGCCTAGTGCAAATATGTGTTCACTCAGCATGAAATTCACTTAATTAGGCCGTATCCCCCATGCTGTCGACTGTACAGCACTTACAGTGCAATCGGTAACTTCGAGCTGAACAATATGCTCTCTAATTCCTGTTCATCATGCTCCGGGAAGCACATTAGTGCTCGCAGCTGTTGTATGTATTAGTTTCCACTTGTTTGTGTCTTATTTTTGGTGTTGTGTGCGACTTGAAGTGGTCACATGTCGTGTGTGGGAGTGTTCATTTCATCGTCTGGCTGTGTCACTGCCAAAGCTGCTGCTTTTTCATCTTGGATGTTGCTAGGGATTTATACTGAGCTTATTTTGACCTTAAAGGTCTTCTTTTCATAATTTAAAGATGCACAGTTGTAGAAGTCAATAAATGCTGAGAGAGAGAATTAACGACTGTAACATGTTGATGGTACAGTCAGATCTGAAGTTTGTTTTCAAACTAAGTTAATACATTTATTTATATTAATCAGATCTTTATTTGAAACCTTAAAAAAATTGAGAAGAGTAAGGTTATTGATGTAGTTATACATCTCAGCCAACATTATAAAATAAAAACCTTATACTTCCTCACAAGAGCCTCGGCCATTTAAGGCCGTATTTAATTTGCCACTGAGAGCGAAGCTTGAAGTAGATCCTAATCCAAATTCCTTCCTTAGATACTGTAGATAACGTTACTAATAGACATTTATAGTGAATTGTTTTGTTCAGTGCCCTGAGACAACTTCTATTGTGACTTGGCGCTATATAAATAAACTGAATTGAATTTAATTAAATTTAAAAAAAAATGTTACTGTTATACATATTTATTGCTTTCCATCGAAAGGCAAATAAAAAAGATGTTTCAACCCATGTCTGTGTGTTCATGTATCTGTTAACAACTGGCTCATGAACCACATGACAAATTTTGTTTTTAAAATTTCCCAAAACTAATTCTTGGATTTACTTTACAATTAATGTCCTTTTTATAATTATTTAAATTCAAGATGGCTAACTCAACCAGCTGACCTTTATTGATGGTTTTGGGCCAGCTGCAGCTGAGTGGTTAGTAGCTGTCCTCCAGTGGGAGAGCTGTGGGTTCGATTCCACCAGTAGTCACATGCCGAAGTGTCCCTGAGCAAGACACTGAACTCCTCACTGCCTCTGATGTGTGTCCCATCAGTGTATGAATGTGATAAAGCACTGATTATTCTTTGTAGAGATATAGTAGAGTTCTGTATGAATGGGTAAACGAGGGCACAGATCGTAGTTTAAAGAGCTTTGGGTATCTCAGTAAAATAGAAAGGAGCTATATAAGTATAGTCTATTTACCATTTTAGGCTAAAAGTCTGTTATATAGAAGGTAACAGATGACACACATCCTTCAGAGAATGCAAGGCTATTAAATAAAATGAATAGATGAAGGTTGAACCAAATACATCAGATTGTTTATTTAATCTGATTTTGTCCTACCGACGTCCACCGTAAATTTAAAGAAAATTCATCCATTGATTTTCCATAACTTTCTGTTTAAACGTTCTAACGTGTCCATTTTTATTGTTTTCTTTTCTTTTTTCTTGAGGTTGTTTTGGATTTTTGTTTTGTTGGAAAAATAGTCCCAATTTTTTTTTGTGTGTCTGCCGTAATTTAGAGCATCTCATGTTTGAGAAGTTTTGTTTATCTGGTCAAACAATAGCGGTGATAGAAATAAACCTCTGCAGACATTATTCAATGCAGCTTGAGAGTAATTTCTCACACAGATTAAATGCATGTTTTGTGTTGTTCATGTGGAACGTCATCATTGCTGCCACACAGTACAACAACACTCAGAGAAAATTATAGTCAAGCTTATTTCTAGTCTTTAAAACAATTAGAATTATCTGTTATGCTGTTCAAACTGTGGCCTTAAAAAGACTTCAGAAGTTCATGTTACAACAGATTATGTCAATTATGTAGCATTACAGTAAAAAAAAAATTACAAATAATAAAGAATAAACGTTGCATATGCATAAAATCTGTTTCAATAACATTTTTCCACAGTTATACTTTCAAAGACTTGATTATGTTGAACGTACCTGCCTTCTAGACAAACATTTTGTTTGTAGTTCTTTAATGAAGTGGACTCTTGGATACATTATTGAAATGAATAAAGTTTGACTTTGCTTGAACAGATAGGATAATTTACACTATTTGGTTATGGCATTAATGTTTTCCAGTACAAAGTTTAATAATAATAATAATAATAACAATAATAATAATGTGCTATGTGTTGTCATCATTGTTTGTTCCCATACAATGGTGAAACTGGTTCTCTGCATTTAACCCATCGCAACTGGGATGCACCAGGTGGAGCAGTGGGCAGCTATGTGGGCTGCCTGGGGAGCAGTTAGGGATTGGATGTCCTGCTCAGAGACACCACGACATGTGGGAATGGCTGGGTATCGAGCCTGGGACTTTCTGGTCCCGATATGGTAGAAAAAGGTATAAAAAATCTAGACCAGGGCTGTTCAACAAAACTGCTCAGGGGACCACAGTTTCTGAAAGTCAACAGCTCGGGGGCCGAACATCCAGCAATTAAAATCATTATGTAAATAAACCAAAGTTTACAATATGTTTCTTTTTAATTTTGTTTATTTTATTGCATTGAATCATAAATGCAATAAACAGAACTC